CCTCGCCGCCCACCACGACCCCGTGTGGCAGCCCTGCCTCGTGGGGCACCCCTACCTCGAGGGGCACCCCTGCCTCGTGGGGTACCCCCCCTCGTGCGACACCCCTACCTCGCTGGTACTGCTCTGGCGCCACATAAGCAGGGTCGTGTCACAAGCGTTGATCCTCTCGAGCTCGCTGCAGTGTCCGGGCAGCCACCTCTGCAACCTGCTGGCTATAATCGTCAAAGGGGCCGCTCCCTCGCTGACATGTTGCTGCATCTGCAGTCCCATCTGGTAGACTATATGTTAGCCAATAGCCTGCACAACATATAAGTATTTGAGGCCCAGTAGCACCAAGCTATCCTGAATTCTTGTGTGTGTCAATTTTAATATTTTCATAATTTTGTATGTTTGTTTTGTATCTATCAGTATAAAAGATACTTAAACTACAGGGATTCTACGCTAAAGGACTCTACATTTTACTACGCTAAAAAGGTACTAGTCTTTAAGCAAATAAATAATCTAAACTAGATAAAAATAACAAATACATTTTAATCATAAAACAAACACAAAATACTAATATCTTAGTCCGGATAAAAATAACATACTAGTTTAATCGCAAAAAAAAACACAAAATAACATGGAAACACATTCAAAACAACTAATATACATTATTATACGAGTTTCGACATAAACTAAATCGGAATACCTCGATTTATGTTTTTCGAAAAGTCGATTAATTGAAAATTTGAGCCCGAAACGAGCAAACCACAACAATAGAAGGTTTGGCTAGGATGTGGGACCTACAATCTTATCTTTTTGTGTGACGGNGGAGGGGGAGGGGAGGGGAGGGGTCGTCTGGTTCGAATGTGGGGAAGAAGGAGGGAGACCGTTTATTTATGTATGTATAGCGCGGTATATAACTGTGCTATACATATATAGCGCGGTTTAAAAGAGCGTTATCTATATATAAGCACTCTTTTAAAGAGCGCTATACTTTAACGGTCAAAAACTCCGTTAAAGTATAGCGCTCTTTAAAAAAGCGCTATATATAAAAATGTCACTTTTTTTTTAAACACACATTTTTCACAGTTATCCAAAAAAAAAATCACAAATGGGTTCTCGACTCTACAATTGTATATAACAGGACAAAGACAATATAAATGGTAGAGAGTTTTGGAACATCTTAATTAATTGTTTTCCGTGATTGCTAGGATTAAATGCATCTTGTACTTGCACCCTTCCTAGAAGGTGGTAGGTGTTTGTAACAAGCTAGTGATGGCAGAATAGTAGTTTTTCAGAGTTTTTCTTAGTTACTGTGTATATTGCTTACTTGGTTAAATAATTTTTTTCCGTTTGACCAAAAAAAGTGCACGCCAATCAAATATTCTACTAATATTTATCATTGAACCTCAAAGTAATAGAACAAGTCTAGTTTTTAAAAGATAAACACGGGGATCCACATGAGGAAAAACAAAACTAGGATAATAACAAAAGGAACCAGAAATTCCATGGTAAATTTGAAGAACGGAGAAACACAATCACACGAGTGTCCATTAACTCGTCTGCCGCAGTTGTAGCAGAAAAGGACACCACACCTACGTCCAGATGTAAAGAGAATTAGATTAAAGTAACACACTAGAAAGTTGAACCCTTTCTCCACTTCTTATGGTTGAATATCAGAAAAAATTCATTTTTTGTAACACCAAAATTAAAAGAGTGCAATTTTTTAACAAAGCATAGTGTGATAAATTTCAATCAAATTCAAACAGCATGCATCTTTTTTCAAGAAATTAAAATATGCAATTCCTGATTCAAATAATCGATATTGTATTGCTGACTAGGTATGCAGTGAAAGACAGATTATTAACCTTTACCATTGATAGCTAACAATTCTACTACCAAACGGCAACTTTTTAATCCTCACTTCCTTTGGATGCAGGGGAGAAATTAATGTTACATTCTTTTGTTTCCTCTCTCTTTTGGTTATAATAGCTAACAATTCTACTGCCAAATAGCTAAATGTAATCATGGCTTCTCTGCTGTCCACAATTACTTCCCTGGAGTTTAAACCTTATCAATCAATCACTTGCGCTTCAATCCCAAACTTTTGCTCTATTTGGACCCATTTCAATTCAATACTAAATATTTGCATGATTGTTTCACCCTAATCCTTTTCTCTCTCTCTCAGTTTTCTGTTTAATCATTTGACTTTCGGTATCCAATGGTCTGACTAATCTCGATGTGTACCGTAAAAAGCCCACCATAGGATTTTAGCACTCCCTAATTCTTCTCAACAAAACAAACCAAAAAAAAAAAATAATTTATCACAAGCAAAGCTCAATACTACAATCACGGTTGACAAAAAAAATTCATTAATACCAAAACAATTTGCAAAAAGTCCAGACTCCTGTAAAATCCTAACCCCAGAAGCTGTAATCCATCCCAATTAAAGATGACATTTTTCATATATCTCTATTAACATTTAACCATAAGTAAAGAATAAAGAGAATCTATATTAAAAAGAGAGGAGAGGAAACAGCAAACTAACCTACAGCCGACAATTTTGCAACCTTGAATACGTTCAACGAAGTAGCGACACCGAGGACACCTCTTCCACTTATTACGCTTAGCAAGCACACGAAAAGCGACGTCGTTAACTTCCCCACAGCGTAACCAAGCGTGCCATGGAAGCTTGCACTTAAAGCAAAATAACATCTTGCAATTTGGACACTTGGAATGTTTCGCATTCCCACCACACTCGTCCAAAATCAAAGCCGAACAATTCTGATTTGGGCAGTAACACTGAGCCAACCCTAAACAGCGGATTCACATAACACGTCGCACCATTTAACAAACAGCTCGGGGCCGACAAGATTTCGACACGATATGGGGTCCAAAAGCTGGTTACAATTCAGAGAAGGACATAGAATGTTGCCAATGTTGTCCTCAAGCTTGACGGTAATATACTTAATGATACAATCGGTACAGAATGGATGAACACAGAGATTTTGGTTCTTGAATTTTCTGTTGGTTAACAACATAGGCTCGATACAAATTTCGCAGGTGAAATTTTGAGGTTCATCTGGTAATTCTGTCACTTGCAATTTGTGTTCTTGGTTTTGTTCTGATTGATTTTTGCCTAGTTTTTGCAGTTTGTTTCCCATTATCAGTGGGAGCGAAGTGTTTGATTTTTTTGTCACTTTGTGAACAAGGGAAATTTCTCTTCACAAGTAGTCTTCTTAATATTCACAACTTCTCTTTACGGTATACGCCTTAATTCTTTTCCAAGTTAGCCAGACTTTATTGGAACATCTTAACATTAAATATACACTGTACTATTATTTAATAAGTTTGTTATGCTTAGGTAAAGCAAAAATATTTCCGAGTCCTAGAGGAGTTAATAAACTTTTTTCTTTATGACTAAAATTTATAGAAAAAGAAGGACGAAGTCGATCAACAAGAGGAAACAATTACACATTAATGGTTAATTATTTATTTGTGCAGTACATTGTCAAAAGTAATCCAATTTTCGGGTGTAATAGTCATAAGCCGCACGAAATTGCTCCCCTAAGCCATAATTAATATTTAATCAGCAACTTTCGGGTGGTAAGTTTTATTTGGAAAAGGTTAGACTGAAAGACACTCCCACAGTCAATTTACTTGAATTTAAATTGGTTATAAGTCAGTTTTTTGTGCCATAAAAGGAAAACTAACATTCCGAGCTATAAGCGAGCCGAGGTTTGATCCATCTTTTCTACAGTGATTCGACAACACAATAGGAAATGTAGTATAAGTTATATAATAATTGATTCTGCAAAGAACTTTACATTAACCAATTATGCACAAAGTAAAGTAATATTCCAATGATTGGTCGTCTATAATAAGCATGAGTTAGTAACAGAGAGAAGAATGTAATGACCTGATATAATCCGTTTAACTACATTAAAACATCACTATACAAAAACAACAATATACTCAGTATTATCTCACACCGTAGGGTCTGGGGAGAGTACAGTGTACGCAAATTGTTACGAATGAAAATAATCTCATGACAGGAATGTTGGAAAAATTAGCAAATTACATGTGGGGCCCTGGGATAAGGGCACGTGAGGATAAAATTGGGCAAATGAAAAAATAATAAATAGTAGTAGGCTAGGTGAAATTAGGTATGCTATGTTATTGACAGAGTTGTTTTCTATTTCTCATCCCCTATTCTTTATCCTCTTCATTCTCATCCCCTTCTTCTAGGTTACTATTCTTCTATCCTTCTGTAACTTTTCTTCTGTATTTTGGTTATTAATTGAACGGTCAGCCCTTCTGTTGTTGTGAGTGTTCATATTTGGAGGTTGTTACATTGGTACTTTCATCGTTCGTACTCCAATAACAATGGTCGTATTAGATCGATTCAGCGGTGGAAACCCACCGGGTTGGATTTTTCGGGCAGAGCTGTACTTCACCTACCTTGGCTTCTCCGAAAAGGACTGGTTACCTCTTCCTTACCATTACCTTGATGGTGAAGCTCTTGCTTGGTTTGATTGGTTGTTTCGAAATGAGCAATTTTTTGATTGGAATCATTTTAAGGAGAAACTGAAGCTGCGTTTTCGCACTCGAACTAGAGAAGCACGTGCTTGGTTCTTAGCCGTTTACCAGCAGCGCAAGCCATTGGAGGAATTTCTAGCATAAGATGCGGCCATTCCATCATGGTGCAGCATTAGCACCTCACTCTCGCCTCAGTATTGGAATAAGCACTCGAACAACAACAACCTGAACGTGGCATACGAGGTGCTCGAGGAAATGCTAGACACCTCCCAAGATGATGAAGCAGCAGTTGAAAATAGTGAGTTACCAGAAAAGCATCTTGATGCCAATTCCATGTACAATGTAGCTAATGGAAGTCCTATTGGAGTTGAACCTCTTAAAGATAGGAAAATATTACAGGAGCTACTGATGATGACTGAGAAATAGAAATTCATAGAGGAAGGCCAGATGTTCGACAAAATGCCGCATTAGTGCTGCTCCAAGGTACTCACTGATGAATCTGGTTTGGATGATAGTGACTCAGAGGAAGACATGGTGCTTGCTGAAAATTTTCAAAAAGATACATGTTGATTGCCTACTCAAATTGCCGATACGACTTCATTTCTGATTTCTTTTGTTGCACGCGAGTATAAGGTTAAAAATAGGACCGTGCTAATTACTGGAATCAATTGCTCGTTGGCAAACACCTTGGCATTTTCTAGTCAAATACTTTCATTGGTACCACACTCTGGTAGTTGGGCCTACAGATGCAAGAGATATTGGACTATCAAATTCTAGTTATGTGGCCATGTGGGTTGACACAGGGTAGGATTTTATCCTTACTTTAGGGTGTGCACCTCTTATGTGTATTCCTTTAAGTTCTCCATCATATGCACATACACTGTTTGAAATGATTAGAAAAAGATGGAGTTATTCATTTGCAAAGGTGTATGATTGGGAGCTGTTAGGTGAAGCTAAATTTGATGTTGAGTCCTTTGATGCCGTGTATCTTGATGGAATTCTCAAACGAACCATTGACAAGAACTATGTCTCTCCAACTGATGCGGCAACCATTTTTCTGGAACTTGTCGTCAACATTTGCAGTTGGTTTGATACTGGGCAGCTAATGTTATATATAGTCTATATGGGAAATAAGGATAGTGACTTTGCTGCCAATACAATTACGCTGCTAAAATTTCATGCAGAACAAGATTACAACACCATGATTTATGATGATGAAATTGATGGGACGCAACCTCTTCTACGCTTAGGCGGTCACGGTGAACCCAATCTGCATGAAGTTCTTAATAATATATGGTGGTTCTACTATAATTACAATACTTATTTAGACAAGTGGTGTGACACGGGGCACGAACTTACAACTAGTAAGTTTTCTCCAATTTTATTTTTGACTATTCTGATATATATATATATATATATATATATATATGTATATCAAATTTAGTAGGCTGGACAATTGGAGAGGGATGTTCGACGACATGATTTACAACAAATTGCTCACTGTGTTGGTATCGTCCATACCACCAACTAGTGTCTATAGTGAGAGGATTGCTATGGCTGCTAAGTTTTCCCAGGTCATTAGCACTGCGCTGACAGTACCTCCTACTAATGTGGATGCATCATTTCAAGCGTATATTGATGACTTCCTTGATACGAATCCCGGACACTGGGTTTTCTTTACTTCATCCTTGAGCTCTTATATTACTACAACTGGTTGGCGAGCAGTTGTTTACGTGCCGCACACAATCTACAACACTGATGGACATCAAAGTGATACTACTGCAGTAGACCTTGGAAACTTGACGCTCATATGCTATTGGAAGTAGAGGTGCTAGAATGAACATCAAAGACATTTTTAGTCAACTTTTGGGTAGGGGCTCAATACGCGAGGAAGAGAAAATAGTAAGAGGTGTTGCTGCATTTGTTGTTCGTTACCATCGTGGCCAAGGAATAATTCAGCAAACGATTGAGCACGTTTGCTATCAATGGCCCAATGCGAGGCTCGAAAGCAAAGGCTTTCTCAGTATTGTGGATTTTGAGAAAAGAATGCATGATAGGATGAAAATGACTTTGTGTGCAGATTGCGAGCCTAAGATTAGCTTGAAGAACTAAAATTCTATCTCTGTACATCTCTTCATGACTGGTTTGCAAGAGAAGGAAATGACCTTCCCGACATCACCGCTATGAAGCTGGTGCAAGCTCTTGCAGGGTGTGTGACGATCATTAAACATTTGGATGTTCATCTGGTAAATATGAGTTCGGAGGGACTCATTAAATTGATTCTAGGTACCAAACAATCAAGCAAGCATGACCTTTTGCAATTTGTTGCTGAGTGGCATGCCGAGAGCACTTCAACAATTGACTTAGAGAGAGTCACATCTTGGTTTTTCTCGTGGATCATTGAGTCGATATGGTGGCAGACCTTGATTAAAAATATGCAAGTTCTCACAGATGACCCGACTGTCAGCAAATCTGTTGAGATGTTCTTAGGATCACCTTCCCTACATATCCAGCAACAAAGAAAGTTTTCCATTATCTTAAGAGATCATGCTAACCAGGAGACTTTGAAGAGATTATGTCCTGTCTGGCTGGACATGTGGTGGAACAATGTGTTGTCAGCCTAAATGTGGCTGAAGTCGATGCTATTTTTCGCGAATTAGCTTGTGGGATCCCAGCAGCTACTCCATTTGATCCAATTGTTAACGCAAACATGTTACCTATTCCGACATTGAGCTTTACAATATTAGTCTCATGGGATATGCTTGCTAGCGATTTTGTCGACCCATATCTTATTGATGCAACTTCTGAGCCACATTCAAGTCTTGACATAATCACCGCTATCCTATCAATGTTTCTCTACTCTAACCTTGAGCACAAGGTTCTTATTGAGGACGGGGTATTGTTAAGAATGAAAATAATCTCATAACAGGAATATTGAAAAAATTAGCAAATTATGTGTGAGACCCTGAGATAAGGGCACGTGAGGAAAGAATTGGGCAAATGGAAAAATAATAAGTAGTAGTAGGCTAGGTGAAATTAGGTATGCTATGTTATTGACAGAGTTGTCTTCTATTTCTCATCCTCTATTCTGTAACCTCTGCATTCTCATCCCCTTCTTCTAGGTTACTATTCTTCTATCCTTCTGTATTTTGGTTATTAATTGAACAGTCAGTCTTTCTGTTGTTGTGAGTGTTCATATTTGGAGGTTGTTACACAGACCTTACCCCTATCTTATGAGGATAGAGAGGTTGTTTCCAATAGACCCTTGTCTCAGGAAAATATAAGCACCACATTAATGAAAATATAGACAAGAAGTGACTTAACCTGAGGAAGTGAAAGATATTTTTAGTATACTTTCATGTTGCCCGATGACGTGTAGCCATATTCGTTCGCACCTTGACAGCACATAGAGGACATCTCTATGCCATCCATATTTAATGCAATAGGAAAAACATCATACCGAAGAAAAATTGGATTAAACTGCACACTGCCACATTAAGGAGTCGTTTGACACCAAAATCAAGAATTAGTTTTACTAGTAATATGCGTGTACAGATTTTATTTGTTTACAATTCTACAAAAATTTATTAAGCATACTTACTACAGAATACTATTATGACTATTATTGTGGGCATTACTGATTCGGAGACAAAAAGATGCCAATAATACATAGATTATTTGTACTAATCCAGAGTATATGTTTGATC